TATTAAGTGTCAACTGGCAACACTTTTTCTTTGATGTATGGTGCTTTGTGTCCTTTAACACCTTTTATTTGAAGATAGAACTTACTGACCTTTTCTACGCAATTTCAAACTGTAAACCCGACGATAACAATAGGCGGACTTGAAACCCCACCGCCCCGATTCCACTAGCTACTCGTGACCTCCCCGGGCTGCTCGCAGCCCGGGGCAACCAAGCGAAGGCTAGTCTATAATATATAAAGCTTAATTACCACTGACTGACTGACTGACTCACTCCATGCTTTTTTCGGGTAGTTAAAGTAGGAAAATGACATTTTCATGTATGGAGAGTGATAATATTTTTTTAAAATGAGTTGAAATGGCGTATCGGTACAGCCAAAAAACAAAATGGCGGCGAGATAATTTTTTTAGTTTCTAAAGTATACACTCTACGATTACGATATCCAAAATGGTCGTAGATTTGGCTAAAAAAATGACACTGAAAAAAGGTTTGATTAAAAAAACAAAATGGCGGCCGAGATATTTTACCTGGAAAATTGTCATTTTTCGACCTCTGTTCGGGCGATCGTTGTTTCTTTTGTGGTGGGTCCGGAGGGGGGATTTTTACGCTGGCGACACGGAAATATAGTCGATTTTCACGTACGGGGAGTTTTCATTTGCGCTTCAACATGGCGGCGGCGGGGGCGGCCATTTTGTTTCGGCAATGAAAAATCGCCATTTTCCAGTGAGATTTTCTCCAAGATGGCGGCAATGTACTGGTTTTCTTTATATGGGGCGGTCGTGGGGCTCGGTAGGATCTTTCCATATTAGTACTAATTTCTACCATTTTCGTGGTAGTTTAGGAGATTTTGGGAGAAAAGTGAAATTTCGAAATACGCATTTTTCGCGGAAAACAGACTCGGTGCGGTGTGAGGCCGTGGGAGCCCTATGACTTTTGGTAGTTTTCGTTTCTGCGAGCTGACAACCCTGGGCTCCACGGTAGAAAACGTGTTTTTCGACATGCCCTCATAACCCGAATTGTTTGGGAACCTGGATGGCCAGCGGAGAAAATCTGTGAATGAGGTCCCTTGCCTGATATAGTCGTGACTATGGGAAAATTATGAAACTCGGCAAAATCAATATGGCGGCGCCGGAAGCGGCCATTTTGTGATTTTTTCACTTTTTCGAAAAATTCAAACGCACTTTTAGCACACATGGCAACATTGTAGCTCTTCGCCTGGTATGGACTGGTCGTGAGTCTCCGCTGGCTCTTTCGAATGACGTAAAAATTTTCCCCGATTTTAGGGTAATTTCGGAGATTTACCCCAAAAAGGTGAAAAGTAGAAGGAGCCGTTTGGGAATTTCAAAAATGCTTTTCCTCGACGGAAGGTACTCCCCGAAATGACATTTGACCATTTTTATCGTCGTCATCTGGCAACCCTGGTAGAAGCGGCGATTTGAAAAATTTTGCCCGTTTTTTACTTTGTCGACTCTAGCGCAGTCGGTATTGCCTCTAGGAAAATGGTAAAAACTGCATCGGATGCGTTATCGAGTTGGCCACACCGGTACGGAGCCGGATTTTCAAAATTCAAAATGGCGGCCAAACCAGCGGCCACTTTATCCGAAAAATTGGATATCGTCACCACGTCGAGCCGATTTTGACGCACTTGGCGACATTTGTCAGAGTACTTCCGGGGAAATATTTTTTAGGAAAGTAACTTAAGTATTGCCAGGTGAAAAAAAATCCCGAAAATTTTTGATACTTTATGAGATTTTTGAGGAAACAATTTTTGTCGAATTTTTTAACTTTTTTGATAAAAATATTTTAATTTTAACTTTTCAAGATACCCGATGGAAAATATAGAACGATCCACTGGCAACACTGAGAGCAAACGACGTTTGAAATTCAACCTTGATTTTGACCGACTTGGCAACCCCGCAGGTATTTGGCATGTATGGAGCGATTATGTATCTCTATAGACTCTTTCATATGGTCGAAAAAAATTACCCGATTTTAAGGTAGTTTTTGAGATTTACCCCAAAAACTGTAAATGTCAAAGGAACAATTTTAGAACTTGAAAATTGATATCCGTCGATGGAGGGCGCATCCCGAAATCACATTTCACTGTTTTTATCGCCTACACCTGGCAACCCCGGCAGCTACGGCGGTTTGAAAGTTCAATGCCCACTATTCACGTTTCGGACTCTAGCGCAGTCATTATCGCCGCTAGGAAAATAATAGAAACTGCGTTGGATGCGCTAATAGGTGTGCTACACCGGTATAGGGTTGAAATTTTAAAATTCAAGATGGCGGCTTAAACTGCGACCATTTTATCTACAAAATTGATCATTTTTCACTACTTTTACTTTATAGAACTGATTTTTGCGCATATGATAACATTTTTCAGATTACTTAAAAAAAAAACATAAGCTGAAGTGTTGCCAGATGAAAAAAAAAACTGTAAATTTTTTGATACCGAGGTTTTTGAGAAACTTTCATGTATGTCATTTATGAAAAATATGAAAACATTTCTTTACAATGATTTTACGGTTTAACAAAAAATTTTCTGTTGCATTTATAACATAATTGTTGGAATAATTTGAGTGATCGACTAGCAACACTGATAGTATAATCATATAAATTTCAGAATGATTCTGACCGAGTTGGCGACTCGGGAACTTTATAGCATATATAGACCGTTTGTGTATCTTTACCCAATCTTTACGTGGTGAGAAAAAAATTCCAATATTTTAGCCAGAAAAATAAAGCGAGCGAAGCGAGCCATAAAGGGTGACCATTTAGAGAGATTTGATTAATTGGTAAGGTTAGAACTGTGACTAAAATAAAATGCGAGCGAAGCGAGCCCTAAAGAACACCATCAATAGAAATCTGATCAATCAGTTAGATTAGAACTGTGAATAAAACAAAAGGCGAGCGAAGCGAGCCATAATAAATGGAGACCTGGTCAATCGTTTAAGGGACTGTGGCCAAAATAAAGAGCGAGCAAAGCGAGCCAAAATGCGAGATCAATAAAAGAGACCTGATCAATCGGTTATGTTAGCACTGAGACTAAAACAAAATGCGAGCGAAGCGAGCCATAAAGAGTAACCATTAAGAGAGATTTGGTTAATTGGTAAGGTTAGAACTGTAACTAAAATAAAATGCGAGCGAAGCGAGCCTTAAAGAACACCATCAATAGAGGCCTGATCAATCAGTTAGATTAAAACTGTCAATAAAACAAAAAGCGAGCGAAGCGAGCCATAAGGAGTAACTGTTAAGAGATATTTGGTTAATTGGTAGGGTTAGAACTATGACTTAAATGCGAGCGAAGCGAGCCATAAAGGACACCATCAATAGAGACCTGGTCAATTGGTTAGATTAGAACTGCGAAAAAACAAAAAGTAAAAGCGAGCGAAGCGAGCCATAATAAATGGAGACCTGGTCAATTGGTTTAGGAACTGTGACCAAATTCACTTATAAGTGTCCTATTTAGATCTGAATCTGAAATTTTAAAATTCAAGATGGCGGCTAAGACAGCTTCCATTTTATCTAGAAAATGTATTATTTTGGCGTTATTGATAAAATTTTTCAGATTACTTACAGAAAAAAAAAATTATTCAGTTGAAGGATGATGATGAGAAAACTATTTTTTTTTGATACTGTGATTTTTAGGAAATTTTCTATTGAATAAGAATACTTTATACTTTAAGGCGATGTATACAACATTTATTTTAAGTTTTCTTACGTTTTTTAACTGAATATTTCATTTTATATTGCGTGTAAACTGGCAATCTTTTTTTATGTATGATGTTTTGCGTAATTAAAGAGCTTTTATTTCAAGATAGAACTTACTAACTTTTTCTAGGCAATTTCAAACTGTAAACATAACAAGAGGCGGACTTAAAACCTCACCGCTCCGATCCCACAAGCGACTCGTTTATGCTCAAGAACTTTACAATAAGTAAAGCAACAAAAACTTGTATAGGTTTATTATGACATATGGGTTAGGTTAGGTTAGTGTACGAAAAACAACCAGAAACGAATCGCTTTTGTTGATGGTAACATTTGGTTTATAATGTTTAAAAGATGATCGTGACCATTTTAATTTCAATTTTGATTTCAATGGACTTGAAAATTCGGGATCTTAATAGCGTGTATATACGGACCATTTGTGTAGAAATCTTTACCCACACTTTCACATACTCAAGTATTTTCTATACTTTTAGATTATTGAGAAACATGTTCTTTTGATATTCAATATAAAAGTGTTCTACGTATGTATGAGTTTGAAATTTGACATTTATTTATTTGGTGTATTATTAAAGGTAACACTGGGGGAAATATCTACTTGATCCTTTTTCATACTAATTATAAACTTACTATTCAATAAGAATAAGAACTTAAAACCCCATCGCGTCGTGAATTGATCTATTCGAATATCTGGCCCCGACATCGGTTCCCTTTTCATAAAATAAATAAATCTTACATAAATAATGTAATGTAATAATGCAATTGACATTTAATTGATTAATTAATGATAGTAACACTGATGGAAATATATGTTCGATTGTTTTTTAATATTATACAGTAATTTACTAATAAATAAGAATAAGAGAATAAAAGACAAAACTTATTTTAAGTATACATACAAAATTTATTTTAAGTTTTGCTTGCGTTTTTCGACTGAATATTTCTTTTTCTATTAAGTGTCAACTGGCAACACTTTTTCTTTGATGTATGGTGATTTGTGTCCTTTAACGCCTTTTATTTGAAGATAGAACTTACTGATATTTTCTAGGAAATTTCAAACTGTAAACCGACCGAAACAATAGGGGGACTTTAAACCCCACCGCCCCGATTCCACTAGCTACTCGTGACCTCCCCGGGCTGCTCGCAGCCCGGGGCAACCAAGCGAAAGCTAGTCTTATATATATACATATATGATAACAAGAATAAAGTGTTGAAGGAATTACGTTATTAAATTATTTAACCTCACTGAAATTGAATTTTCCTAATATTTTAGATGAAGTGAGCGGTGCTGGCTTTGATTGGGCTAAAGGTGGAGCTCATTTTCCTTTAGTTTTTCTATTTGAACTCCGAGATACAGGAAATTTCGGTTTTCTTCTACCGCCCGAAGAGATTATACCGAACAATGAAGAAACGATGGACGGAATGGTTGAAATGCATAGAGCTGTTAGATCTATGGGATATTACAGAGGGTCCGCTTGAAGCTCTACTGTAAAAGATGGTTCTCATACTATTAATAAGTTGAATTGGCAATAAAATAAACATTTTAAATAAAAAGTAACTTATTGGTTTTTATTTAATTTGCAATGTATTATATTTGGGCTCGAAACCATGACTTTTTGCAATCCGAGCGACTGCTCTACACTGAGCTACCCAGGACGTAACAGGACTGACGAATTTTTCAAGCACTTGTAACTTTTTCGTTATTACAGAACGTATCTTCATCAATGTTCAGGCAATCCACCCAAATAACATAAAGAAATATCTTTTACAAATATTTAAACTTTTAATAAAGATGAAAATTCGTTTTAATCATTACATTTGCAATGTGTTTGTTGTTAATCAAATACCGTAACATTTATTTAACATATAGTTATTTTTTTATAATTTTTATCAATTTATGGACTTGATAAATTATTTTACTATGAAGAAATTATTACTAGCAGACGATATTATCATTTTATCTAATCGAGTTTAGTTCACTTAAGCTTTGGTCACATGATTATGCCTGCTCGTGAATATGCTTGGCTGTGTAACTACAAAATAATTTCATTTGTGTCAAACATCCAATGTTCCAGCTTCGACTGCATTTGCAGTTGCTTACGTGATCGAAGCCTTTTGATACCTATAATTAGAACAAATCATAATTCAAAGTACAATACAATACAAAACTCTATTGTTCACATTACACAATGAATTACAAAATTTTATAGTAAATTAACACTATTGTGTAACAATTGGCAGCCTTACCTAACCCTAAAGTACTTACCTAACCCTAATAACAGTAAAATATTATCTTTATCAAGATATTACAGTTATGGTTTTGATAACTCGAATAAATTAACCCAAAATAATTCAGTACTCTCGCGTAAAGCGACCAACATGAATAGTAAAATCGCAATATTTCTTTTCGGAATTTTCGTTTCATCTTTTGCCTATAAAAGTTACGAAAACTTTAAGGTTTACAAAGTGATACCCAAATCAGATGTTCAGATTCAAATTTTAACAGATTTACGTAAAAATGGAAGTTATGATTTCTGGACAGATATTTTAACGGTCAACAATGAAGTCAGAATTTTAGTATCTCCGGATCAGGAAGTGGAATTTGTTAAATATCTCAAGAGTGTTGATTTAACTGCAGAAATTTCTATTAAAAATGTGCAAGAGTAAGTACAATAGTAATTCTAAAGATTTTTAAGGGAATAGAAATTTAATTAGAATAAATTATTATGTTTATTAATTATAATTTAACTTATGTGTAAAGGTTAATCGAAGCACAACTTAAACCATCTGCGTCATCGAAATCCAGTCAGCTTGGCTCTTTTACATGGAACGAATATCATAATCTTGCGCGAATTCACTCATGGCTGGATGAACTTCAAGAATCATTCCCAAACGTGGTTAAAACTGTCGTCATTGGGCAATCTGTAGAAGGACATGACATTAAAGGAGTCATTATAGACTTCAAACCTGGTGCTAGAGGCGATAAGCCATTGATTGGGATGTTGGAAGGTGGTATCCACGCTAGAGAATGGATATCACCTGCCACTGTAACATGGATTATAAAAGAGTTCTTGACTAGTAACGATCCTGATATTAGATTCATGGCTGAAACATTAGTGTGGCATATTTTTCCCGTCGCCAATCCTGATGGCTATATGTATACATTTACAAACGTGAGTTTCCATCATTAGTAAATATGTATTGATATTCTTAAAAAATACTCAACTATTTTTCTTCAAAAACTTGGTACTTGATAAAATATTTAAATGTTAATATGACCAACTAAAATTTCACTTCAATAGATAATATCACTCAAATTAAAGCCAGCGACACATTATTATGTAAAATATGGTACTCTTTTGTTCCACAGGACCGAATGTGGAGAAAAAATAGAAATACAGCCAACTATGTTACATGTGGTAACAACATTGAAATTGGTAATGGCATTGATCTGAACAGAAACTTTGACTTTTTGTGGATGAGTAAGTATTTTTTTTTTTTACATATTCAAACGACCCAGTCGCACCAGTTTAATAAGTTTAGCCTATTTAATTAAATACTCGAGTAGCTCGGTGGCGTAGTGGATAAGTGATCATCTCGAGTTACTCATTGCTTCGGAAGGCTCGCTAAGCCATCGGTCCCGGCTGCATTTGCAGACGTTGATACCATTATATCCGCATTCGGTTAGCGTGGAGGGTCGTGGCCCATCCTCCTTGACCATCCATTAAGAAGGCCTGAGCCCCTGCAGTGGGGACGTAAAAGGGCTGAAGACGATGATGAATTAAATAGTTGCTCTGGGTGTATACAATTGATATATCCAGTTGCACACAACTCCATTAAAAATTTATTATTGAGTAGACGTTTGTGCAAATTTGTGATAGATATTTTATTATTTTCAATAAACAAATCTTTTCAATTTAAAATACTTTACCTAACATTTTTAATTTATTAAATCAGCATAACTGTTAATGACTAACATTTGTGAGGTTACAGAAAAAATATGGCCGCTAAAGGAATTAAAATTCCAAAAGATTAACAAAAACGTTAGAAATAAAAAAAATAATAAGTGTGTGCACATCACAGGCAAATGATTATAGTCCTCAGCATCACATGTGAAATGTTTAAAAAAGTAGCAGTGAGTTAGACAGTTCTTGCCTATACGAGGGTCAAACTGAAAGTTCTTAGAAAATCAAAAACTGATTACATTAGCCAGTTATTAGTTTTATTATATCTTTTCAAAATATTGTCCATTCACGTCAATACACCGCTGCATGCGATGGAACCACTGGGAAAAGCACTTTGCCCACTCGTCCTTAGGGGTCTCTTCAATGGCATCGCGATACGCAGCCACCGCTTCTTCAGCATTCATAAACCGCTTTCCTTTAAGTTTTTCTTTAATTTTTGGAAATAAATAAAAATCACAAGGCGCGAGGTCGGGGCTATACGGCGGGTGACCCAGTAATTCAACGTTTGATGTCGCCAAATAGTCGATCGTTCGCTTGGCGGTGTGCGACGAGGCGTTGTCGTGGTGAAGGAGGATCCTACTGCGAGGTCGTTTCTCTCGAACTTTTTCCAAGACAAGTGGCAAACAATTGGTAGTGTACCATTCTGCAGAAACTGTTTTTTGATCCTCTAACACAATTGTTGCAAAATGACCTATCCTTCCAAAGAACGAGGCCACCGTTTTTTTTCCCGCACTTCGATCTCTCTTCACTTTAGTTGGCAACTCCTCGAAAGGAAACACCCACTGAGCAGATTGTCTTTTGGTTTTAGGATCATAACAGTAAATCCAGCTTTCGTCACCTGTTAGTATGTCGAACACAGCATTTGAGTCACCTCCGTTAAATCTTTCAATCATTTTACGACACCAATCCACACGATGGAGTTTTTGAGCCTCAGTCAAATTATGAGGTATCCACCGGGCGCAAAGCTTCCTGACCGCTAAATGTTCGTGGAGGATTTTGTGCACTTGACTCATACCGATGCCTAAGCTTGTCCGAATCTGTTGATAGGTCACTCTTTTGTCAGTCTCTATCATACGCCGCACAACACAGATGTTATCTTCAGTCGTCGCCGTAGAAGGCCGTCCCTCACGTAAATCATCAATGAGATTAGTGCGACCACGTTTAAACTCATTAAACCAGTTGTAAACAGTCGCACGAGATGGGGCTTCATCGTGAAAGGCCAATCGTAGTCTATCATAACTTTCTTGTTGACTTAAATGACATCGAAAGTCATAAAAAATCATTGCACGAAAATTTTCTCGTGTTAAATTCATGATGACGTGACACAGACAATTTTCAATTTGCCGCCAAATCGTAAAGCAAATGACAAATGAATGAAATATATACTCAGTAATATTGGCAAAGAGTTATATTTTCAAATTTTAGAATTATTTTTTTATTATATTGTTTATAAGTGGCCAGTTCTAAGAACTTTCAGTTTGACCCTCGTAATATATAAAGAGAAAAAAAATGTTCGTCAAACGCAGCTATTTATCAAAGAAGATATTAATATTATTGTATTTGTTTAATTTTGTTTTCACAATGCTACGCTGGAAAATATTCTTAATGAAAAATCTTTAAAAAATCCACTTTGTCTTTTGGTACTTTGATATGATCGGAACAAGACCGACGGACCTTCAAGCACTAAAGTAACAAGCGCTTGAAATATTCGTCAGTCCTATTAGATCCTGGATAGCTTAGTGGTTAAAGAATTCGCCCGGATTGGGAAAGGTCGTTGGTTCGAATCCTATCCTATCCCAGGGCTGGTACCCTACTTTCCCTGAGGACAAATTGGATTTTTAAGCATTTTTCATTAAAAATATAGCAGTATTCAATATGGCAGAATATACAACTTGTTATACAACTGCTCACTCAAAGGAATTAATTAAAAAATTTAAAAATCTGACTAGCAAAATTGAACTTGAGATAAAAGAAACAAGTTTTACTATGGCTTAGCTGAACAGAACTCTTATTGCAATCGCGGGACCTCCTTAGATTACAAACATTGAGACAATATCAATGTTGTTTAGACAATCTATAGTAAAACTTGTTTCTTTTATTTCTAGGGCGATTTTTTTACTTTTAATAGTGATATTTGGCGAGTTTTAATTCCAAAATTATCTAACTTTAGGTGTTGGTGCATCGAGCAATCCTTGTGATAACACTTACGCTGGGCCTACACCATCATCAGAGTTGGAAACTCAAGCGATCATAAACTATGTCAACCAGCTTCGAGTTTCTGGCAACATGATTTATTACATAGCGTTTCACTCATGGAGTCAAATGATATTGGTACCTTACAGTCATGCCACTGGAGTCCAAGTTTTGGAGGCCAGCAACTATGCCGACATGGTACTGAATTAAAAAAACTTTACATATACTATGAGCTTTATCTCATTAGATGCCATGCCATTGCTATGGGGCAAAGATGCAATCGGCACTTACTATTGGCAAAAGTAAGATGCTCAAACTAGCCGTCAAAGTAGTTGCTAAATGAGGTTGTTATACTATGACTGAAATAACATAATCATCACTCCCTATTGCCACAGAACCCTAATTAGAAATAGCTCTAAGATATCCACAGAAATCGGAATAGTTATAATAAGTTAAGAAGGAAAATACTCTTGTTCTAAATGAAGAATAGTGGTACATGCTTACTGTTTGTGAGCAAGTTATGCTTACTTATATTTTTCACGACATTTCTAATGTTTCTGTTTTCCGTGAAGGTATTATATATATATTAAAAATGTTTTTTGTTGGAGAAATCTAGTCACGGGACTTCCCCGTGACTTTCTGGACTTGATGCAAACAACTTACAACAACTTTATGAAACAGGGTAGTTTAAATACGAGTATTAATTATCATAATATAAACAGATGCATTATCTATTGAACTAAAATGTACCAGATATTTTCTATCAGAACTATTCAACGTAACACAATTAGAGTGGTTAAAATGGTATAGTGATGTACGCCCGTATAGCAATATCTTATTTAGAACATTTACATTTGCAACCTTTGTGATTGAGTCACTACCTAGCCACTATTACAATGTGCCGCCAACTCCTAGATCTTGGGCTCAATTTCCCGTCGGGTCAAAGTTAAAAAAAAAAAACATTATTGTATTGGCTCTGGTAGATTTTTTTTCCTTTTCTGTAATGGCTCTGAGCATTGTGGCAACTTCGTTGTTTTAGGTTTCTATAATGCAGGTAATGAAAACCGTATGAGGTCTGAGCAATGTATGTGATGTTGTTTTATATTTCTTATTATACATTTATTCGGATAAGGTGGATTGGCAAACTTACTGAAAGACGCCCTCAGACGAGATTGGAAGAGGATCTTTGCGATGTAAGTAGCAAAATCTGGGTGAGAGTAGCCAATGATCGAGTTATATGGCGCGCGAGTTTGAGAGGCATACGTCCAGCAGTAGATGCATGATGATGATTTATTTATTTATTATCGGTTATGTTGCTTAACTCGTATTGGATACATAACGCTTTTATAACTCTACAAAGACTTCTTATTTTGTTTCAGTATGAAATTGCTATTCGCGGCGCTGCTAAGTTAGAATCGGTGCATGGCACACAATATACAGTGGGAACATCAGCTGAAATTTTATGTGAGTTCAATTTATTTAGTTCTCCCTACTCTTTTTGTTTGTATTTTCATACCCTGAAAAACTACATAACAATTACGAAAAATTTACGAGAAATTATACGATACGAGTGACCCAGAAGCCAAATTTTATTCACAAAAAAAAACCCTGCACTCCTTTTCTACATAAACTAATGGAAATTAACACAATGTCAATTTCCATATTCGTCCGTTCGGGTTACTAAAGTTATGCTTCAAATAAATAAATAAATTACTTGTTCTTTATATTTTAACACGCAATTCCCAATAAATAAATTATAGAGTGCATTTTTTTATTTTACTGCATTCAAACTAAACTTATTTGGCACATTCGTTAAACCAAAAAATTCAAATAACAATTAAATTATTATACCATAATATTTAAGATATTTTTTGTTTGTTTATTAATTTATCCCTGACTACGATGAACTAAAACCACCAAATTCAGGATTCTTGTCTATAAAAAATACACGTGATAAATCCGTTTTAATATAGCTACTAGGTGGATTGAAAAGTTCGCGGCCTCAGCAAGAAAACAATATAAAATATAAGCAAAAGTAATTTTATTTTCCCATGTAATCTCCACTTAACTCTATGCACTTCTTCCAACGGTTTCCAACGCCTGTATGCCGCTTATAAAAAAAGTTTCTTCAAGGCCTTCAAAAAAGTCACCCACAGCAGCTTTGACTTCCTCATTTCATGAAAATTTTTGACCTCCAAGGTTTTTTTTCTTTGGTTTGAGAATAAATGAAAGTCTGAAGGTGCCAAATCAGTTTTTTGAAGGTGCCAATCCAAATGAGTTAGTTTTTTTAAACAGGTATTTGATGAACGCACGTTGCTCAACTTTCTCGATTCTTTAAAAGTGCTGCACAAAGGCTTACAAAATTCAGTCTAATTTAAATACAGTTAATGCTATTGCGATAGAATTTTATAATTTGACAACCAGAGAATAAACTAATTGAATGAGGTCAGTTACATTAAAATAGTTTAAGTTTTTATGTGCGTTTTCAATCCACCCTCGTAGATCCACGAGGACTCATCTTCTCCAACTTTTTTAACATATATTAAATGTATTCCAGATGCTGTCAGCGGTTCAAGTTTTGATTGGGTCAAAGGAGTGGCAGATATACCTATAGTCTATCTTTTTGAGCTCCGAGATGTCGGACAGTTCGGTTTCTTACTACCCGCTGAACAAATTATTCCCAACAACGAAGAAGTCATGGCCGGTTTGGTTGAAATGGAGAAAACCGCTCGTGGTTTGGGTTATTACAGTGGAGCTGGTGATGTGAAATCTGTATTACTGTTCAATTTAATTGCTTTAGTATTCGCTTTGTTGAGATAGTAATAAAAGAGATTTGGTATTATTTTACAACTTCTTATTCATCTTTCCGTGGTTGTTGGCATGTTGGTCTTATGTTTATCTTTAAAATAATCATTTTTCAGTCTATTTTCTTTACTTTCTACTTTTTTATTGCTTTAATAAAATTTGATTATCGAAAAATACTGTTACTTTTAAAATATGAAAATCATTTCAAATTTCATCGTCTGGCTTTATTAAACAGGCATTGTAAAGTATTTATGTAGCTGCGCTATTGTATTACCGTAAATTAGCCTAATCTGTAACAATGGCGTCTTCATTACGAGCTTACAATTATTATCGCAAAATTTTACTGGTTTTGATTAAGCGACCTTAAATTATCAACCGTACAAAGTATTTAATCGGGCAGATAATTTTTATATGCGTTTTAAATTTTTTGTGTTTATATCGGAGATAAAACATATCTTATCGTTTATTTACTAATCGATATAAAAATGATTTTAATCGTTTTACAATTATCGTCATCATTAGCCTGTTTATGCTAATCATTATTATTAATGTATTGAGCACAATTTGGTAGCCTTAGACCTTCCTTAGGACCCTTGTCTTATTATCATCATTTCAATCATAATTCAGCTATTCCTAGGACTTCCACCGCTGAACATAGACCTCTACAATTTTCTTCCGTTTTAATTGGTTACGAGAAATCTACAAAAGTGTATTAGGCCTCAAATCTATCTTTAGAATCCGAGCTGACCTCACCTCCTCCTAGTGGAATCTGGTTAGTGATAGAAGAAGTTTCAAGCCTGGTGAGCTTGTATCGCAGGGGATTTGCATTACGCGTTGAATATTAGTCCGAAAAATAGTCCTGTATGACAAACTCACTAAAACACTGGCGGTGAACTCACTTGTGCAAGGATAAGTTATGGAATTCTGGATAGGACTCCATCTCTAATGGATGGCGACATACACTACTCGAATAAGGATTTTTCTGAAAACAAATCTAAAATATTTTACAAAAAGCTTCATCATTATTATTATATGGTAATATTAAATTAAGTTCTATTGGTGAAACATTTTATCCTATTGCCGTAAATTCCCTTCTTACATATTGTCAACACAGACTAAGGTAATATAATTTTTAAATATGAATGTTATGAATAGGAAAAAGTAATAACCTTAGGTATAATCTACTCTAATAGTATATAAATTCGGTGGGGTTTATATTGAAATTAAAATTAACATTAAAAAAAATCAAACTCATAGAAGTGTTTGAGTACTAGTTCCTTAATTTACTTAATTTGAGGTTAGGAGAACGCGTCCCCGCGAATCACCCCTGTACCCGGAGCGTAATACAAGCGATCCCTCCAAAAGTAAACATCCTCTTACGGATGACACAATGTCACTGGAGGTAAATAAAAATAAATTACGGCGTCCCCCGTATCCGAGGCATGACTGAAATCAGATGTCGAAACGACACCACAAATCATAATGTGTGGTTGAGAAGCTAGGGTGGAACAGCGACAGGTGTAGACTAGAATGAAGAATTATTGGAGATGTAATAATTTTGTCAAATTACCTACGTTTAAGTTTTGTTACTGAGGTTAGAAGGGCATGATTTTTATATACCTATTTTTGATTTATGGTAGATACCACAAACATAGGCACGACTGTTATTAAAAAAAAAACTATATTTTCCAATAACTTTAGTGTTTGAAATGAGTTAATCTATCTATTTATGCATATAAATCTTCAGACCGTATCCCTTTCGGTGTTGATGAATGAAATGAGTTAATGATATTATTAAATTTTATTTTAATAATATTATTCAAAAAAATGCGGCAGTATTCTGATTTGATTTTATTATTATATAGGGGAAAAACGTAAAGCCGTTTTGAGATATTATTATGAAATAATTTTTCAAGTTCTGAAGCAGCTCCATTGGTCTTATATTCTTAGGTCCTTTTCAATTTATATGATAATATTTCGTAATGATTCAGTTTTTATTGTTTTCTTTCCTAACCTTCCGTAAAATTAAATTGTATGGGGATATGAGTCGTAACTAGAAAGAAATACAATTAAATTTCATTATTGAACTGTTCTTATAAAAAAGCTTTTAGCTAATAAGGAAACATTAATCTAAATCCAATATATATGGTAAATACTCATCGTGAAAAATAAATTTAGTATGAGGAGCTCAATCGTGCAAGAGGCAGTATATTTGGTGCATTCAGTCTGCGATTACGGAAGTTAAGTATTTTCGCAAAGGCCGATCATTAGATAGGTGACCAAAAGTTTATTACCTCGTGCTCCTATATTTTTCAAAAGGCACTTATGCTATAGTTATCCGCTACATCTGATGTCGTTTAAATCTACTAATCATAATTTAAACCGTCTAGTAGTTATGGGTCGTTTTTGATGTATTCAGTCTGCAGTTGTGAAAGAAAAGGCCGGTCATTGGATGGGTGAACAAGAATGTATTATCTCAACCTCCTCTATACTTCAATTGGTAATCATCTTATTGTTCTTTGCTTCATATGATGTAAACACCTACTAAGTAGGAATGGACTCACATAGTGGTTAAAGGGTTTCTTATGTTTTGTTTTCCTTATGTGGAAGGTCGACGATCTTTATAGCGGCTACCCCCGATCTATGCTATGGGGTCACCACTGGTTGTAAGCCAAATGAGAAGGTCCCTTAAGACTATTTGTAGGTGCTCCACGCTCGAGTTTCAGCCTTATGCTGGGCAGCGCAGCGACGGCGCGGATCGGACTCGGTCAGCGCCCCGGGACGGCGAGTCCACTGGTTTACCAACACTGAGGGATCGGAGGGATTGTTCTTGCTTGGGTGATCCTGTGAGGAAGAAAACCTTAATAAAAAAATACCTCAAAGCCCTGGAATTGGGTACCGTGATATCAGCGTACCCGCTTCGGGTGGCTATAAAAGTAACACGTGCTTAAAAGATTCGTCAGGCCTGTTAGGTCCTGGGTAGCTCAGTGGTTAGAATAGTCGCTCGGATTGCGAAAGCTCAAAGGTTCATGTCCCATCTCAAAGTGCCCGGGTCTGTGTGTGGGTGGGTGGATTTTTTAAGTACTGCTGTGGAATTACCATCCCCGTTTCCCAGGTGGATATTAGCAATCAAACTAGCAAAAAAGTTAATGAATGTAATGTGATCCCTGCCGCACTGAGATGGAATTTAAGCATTATTCATTCAGAATATTCTTCAGTATAGCATTGTGTATGCAAAATTAATCAAAAATAATAAGATTTAATATTAAAATTATACAACTAACAGGCATATTAGGGATTTATAATAGTTTTGCAGCAGCCAAACATTATTGACAGTATTTTTTCTATACTAGTGTTATAAAGAGCAAAATGTTATTCTTTGTTTTCACAGAAAAAACTTCGAAGCTATAACTCGCACTCGAAATTTCGTTTTCGGAATTTTTTAATAATTCATTCACCTACTCTTCCATTTATGAAACACTAGCTGTTTTCTCACAACTTTTTCTGTGTAAATTATAACCTTTGTCACCCGCGTAAGTTGTAGTTTTCCACAGGTGGAAGAATTTTTAAAATTGGTGCAGTATTTTTGGTCCCTTTTTGATGTAAACAAACAATGGAATCTTTCCTCTCTATAATATTAACATATTAAAGGCAATATGATTAGAAAACCCCAAAACAGTCTATGATTTTTAGTTTACTAATTATTTATAGTTCCGAAGTGCTAAGTTTCTTAGTAGTTTGTAGACAGACAAATAATTTTTAAAGCGCGGTTCACGATCATCAATCATTCCAGAGTCGCTAATGAGCTGAAACTTAACGTTTTCTCAGAAACTAATTTATCGTGATATCTTTTTTTACTTGAACCTCATTTTCAAACATCCAATTCGAAACTGTAGACCATTCTTAAATTGGACGCCCATTTTAAAATGGTCTCCGTAACCAACTTTTCTGCTTTGTTTGTCAGTTCAATATATTTTGGTAGGGTACTTTTAACGAGGCCCTTATTTTAGTACTAAATGTCAAACGGGTAAGCTCAACTTATACTGGTTATTGTGTCTAATTTTAACCCGTACTTGTTTCTACAGTCTAAACACATTTTAAAAACCATAAACTAGTAACTCAACCGTTTATTGTGGTTGACAATTTTATGCTTGAATAGCCCGGGCTATTTTGACCAAAGAGGATGCTTATATGTAATAATTAGTGTGTTGACGATCAAAAGGGTTATTATTTTTCGTGCAGCATGATTTGTTGCACGATTATTTTTGTAATGATTTAAAGCTGCATCTAAAGACAAAACGGAAAAAAGGGTGTTTTACGAATTAGTAAGTTCAAATAAATAAACATGATATTATTAATAAATACTTAATTATTAATATTTATATAAGAAATAAAAGATTGTAAGTATCTTATATTTACGATAGGTACTATTTCTATGTGTTAGATATGCTATGTCTTCCGTTTCAGTGAGAGAGAATGCCAAAGGCAGGTACTAAACCATGAAAAAAAAAGTTATAAGTATTAAGTTTTTATTATCATTGGTGTAAGGGTAAAAATGGTGTATTAGACAGTGGTTGTGATTTCAAAACTTTAAAAGCGAAATGTACCTCAAATTCCTTTAATAATATTATTAGAAGCAGTAATAGAATTCAGGAATGTTTGAATATGTTCAGGAGACGGTGGATATGGCGTTAATTTATCTTACGTTTAAATGACGACAGGAATCCCCTGTTGCACCATAATAAGCAAACGTCTATTGCATTCTTCACACACGTGTCTAACTAAATATAGAGAGAATTTAACTAAAAAGTTTGGCCAAAATGTTTTTTATAATGTTTCTCTAAATGACAACCTCCTTTGTAGTTATGAAGACTTTTTAAATAAATTTAAACAACGAATTTGAAAAAAGAACGTGGCGAACAAGGTATTAACTAACTTTTAGGTTTACAAAGAAACTACTGATTCGTTGAAATTTAAACCGGCTCATGTAATTTTAATAGGAACGTATTAAAAAAAGACATGTAGCGAATTGATAACCTATTTCTTTT